AGAAGAATCTGGATGGTTTAACAATTGGAACGAATAATCAGATGGGTCAAAGCAACCAAACCAGCTGTTCAGCGTTAAATACTGAACAACACTGCTGAGATTTGGGGCTCCTGACGGTTTAATATATAAAAAAAAACCTTTGCGTGCTTCCTAAAAAAAGACTGGTAATCTTCAAAAATGAATTGGATCTCACCTTTTACATTTTTTTGGGGGGGGGGGACTCCTCAGACTGGTTTGGGCCAGAAACCGCTGGGTGTTTTAGACACGGGTTTGACTCGCCTCCATGTTCAGACCTCCTGCTGTGCGTCTGGAGGTCTTCATCCCCCCCAATCAGCTTATCACCTGCAAGGGCCAAAGGCTCCTGATTAAAGAGACATTCACCAAAGGTTTTTGTTTGTCAAATGACAAACAACCAGGGTTTCGGGTTTTGACTGCAACACCATACAATGCGTTATAACGTTTGATAAGACTTTGTATTCAAATATAAACTGCAGGCTCGTGCTACTCGGTAAACCAACTAGTACCAATGAAAGCCATTTATCGGTTGGATTACACAGACTGGGAGCGAGTTTGGCTGCTCCGGGAGGTTATTTAATCACAGTAGAAGCAGATGTGACATGCAGCCCACAGTCCATTATCAGCTTAATGAAGGTGCAGCGGAGCAAAAGCAGCGCGCCGTGATCGATGAACTCGCCAACCAGCAGCAGAATTCAAAGTTATTACTCATGATTCGCAGCTCGATCTTAAGAGTCGTTTTGAATCTTTTGTCTCCTTTTTCCCTCTTTGGCTCTCTCCCTCTGCGTCGTTTTCTTCCTTTCTCTTTTTTTTTTGACAAGCAGAAGGTTTTTTCGCGCCGCATGTGCGCTTATTAGGCACCACGGGCTGAACTCAATATTCTGCTGACAGAGAGGGAGAGATTACTGAGGAACGGGAACGGAAACGACGAGGCGTGAGCTGAATTTAAAAAACCCATCTCAAGTAGCAAGAAGCAAGAAGTCAAAGAAAGAAAATGTGGAATAAAACATTGTGACAGAATATAAAATGACTGATATGTATAATAAATTAACCCTAACTACATATATTTATAGTCTTAACGTGAAACCCATCAACTCCTCTTTGACGGGAATGAATGTGCTACGCAACCCAGTTTTGTTGAGGTAAACTCAAGGAGCTCCAGGAGGAGAAATGACTCTGTGTCTCTGCGTTTCAACGCAAGCAGTCACTCAGAAGTCGAGCAGGTTGCATCTGCCGTATCATAGCTGGAGTAGCTGCGGTGCAGAAAAAAGCCCTTTATTTCCTCTGCATTATTCATCCACCGCTATACAGCAGACACTTTGAAAACTCTCGCCAACCCAGCGGGAATACTGGTATAAAGTATGTACAGTGGCTGTATTACAGGCGGAGGCGAACACCTTTGCAAACCCGACACAATAAACATTTGAAATGGACCCTGGTGTATTTCCTGTTGTAAAGGAGGTAAACTTGGACCGAAGCTGCTGAATGGCAACGAGAAGGTGCATGTATAAATCAATTCACATTCATTCAACGCTGTTTATTTCTGCTGTGAAGTCGCAGAGCAAAACTGCAACCCCAAAAACGCTAACGGGCTGTTGTTTTTTTGATGCTCCACTTTCGCACTAGAACTTCTCATTCAGGGTCACGCTCAAAGGATCGATCTCCAAAGGGAAGCAGTTTGCACGTGCACGTGTGTGCAGACGCCACATGAAGATTCCGAGTGAACGGCGGGGATTTTATTCACCGGTCTCCATCCCATGACATCCGCTCCGCTCCGCTGATGCTATCTTTGGCTGAAGTGCTATTTTAGGAGACACCGGGCCTGCGAGACGAACAGAGCTGTGTAGTTCAGGGCGCGTGCGTGACGACGGGGCCTCGGCCGGTGCGCCGCCGCACAGCGGCAATTAATTGTGTTCATGGAAATTAGTACAGATGTGTGGAAAAGAGAGATAACGTGATGATGATCATGTGCTCGTGTTCAGACAGACACACACACACTGAAGCGGTAAACAAAGGTGTCTGAATAATGAGCGAATGTACAAAAGATAAGAGGACACACATCACACTAATAGTGCAGCAGAGGAACGCACACTTAATTACAGAAGGTGTACGTGTGTGTGTGTGTGTGTGACGGTGTGTGTGTGTGGAAGCCAATTAGGGTGCATTGAGAGGAAAATCGCTTCATTAATGAAAACAGTAAGTGCATTAAATCTTATTCGACATCACCATTTCCATCGAAGTGGCCTTGTGCACGAATGCAAAGCAGAAATACCCCACACACTTTGCGGTCATGCCCTCCCGGTGACCGTCCCTCTCTGTGGGCGCTAAGCAACCAACCCGTCCAGCGTGGGCGCAGCGGACGGACTCCACACTGGCCTTAGGGGAGCCGCTCAAAACAAGACCACCCTGACAGCTGCTAACGGCCTCGAGACGCCGCAGAGGTTCGTGCATGTGAGCGGGAGGTCCGTGTGTGTGATTGTGTGTGTGTGTGTGTGTGTGTTTGCCACATCTCTGCAAGAAGACGTGGGGGCGGAGAGAGACACTGCTGGCTAATGGGGTTCCCAAAGGGCCCTCACGCACAGCGGATCTCAGTAAAAAGTGGGGAGCCACAGGGGAGGAGCTATTAGGGAAGCTCAGCCTTAATCTGCTAGCAAGACGGCTGAAGTGGTTCTGCTTCCTTCCCGCTAACAAGAAGCCGGCCGAATTGATCTTCCCACAAGTGTCGAAGCCTTCCGCTGAGCGTGCATGGCGTGATGCTGGCAGTAAATCCCCGCCGGGAACTCGCCGACCTGAGCGAGTGGAAGGATAATGGATAAATATCAGCGTATAGGACTGCATTTTAAACTCAATTCGTGGGAGGCAGAGCACAACAACGGCATGCCGCATTATCACCTCAGGCTGCGATAGACAGTTGTCTTTATAATTGATTTATCTGCCAATTATTTTTAAGTAATTCATAGGTTTTACTCAGTTTTGGGACCGTTTTCTGACTGACGGTCTTGCTGCGTCCCGTTTAATAACCCAGGGTGAACAGCAGGGTTCTTAGCTGGATCCACTACTATTTAAAACCTTCCAACATTTGTTCCTCTAACGTTTGAGTAATAAATTGTCATGCAGATGATACGATCCTCCACACGTTTAGCTCGTCTTCAACTCAAGCCACATTTAGATTTTAATCTGCCTTTACATAACATAACGTGCTGAATGCAGATAAGACATAATGTGTTTTAATCCGAAGAACTCCTGATTCTATTTTTTCCTGGAGTCCATATGTACAATGATGCTGAAGTTTAGGTTATTCAATTATTACTCAGTTATATAAATGTTTGGGAATTTAGTGCGATTGTAAGAATGGGTTTCTTATACTGCACAGTTCACCTTTCAAATCAAGACAAAAAACACAGACGAACACAGTCAAACCGCGTGTAAACGAAATGAGAGGGGAAAATATCCCATCAACAACACAGAACGTTGAAATTCAAACCAACAGCCTTTTTGTTCTGGACATATGAACATTCTTGGGGGTTGACATGAATAAATAAATTGTTTTGATAAAGATTGATTCGTTTTGAGGTTTTCCAACCGAGGCTCAATGCTGAATATTTGATCTCTAAAGTTCAAACGCATCAGAATCGATGATCATCAATTTGAGTGTTTAGAACACACACACACACACACACACACACACACACACACAAAGGACAATGCAAACAGCGTCCATCTCTCAGTTTGTTAGAGCATTAACATTGTGGTCCAGTACGCAATCGATCCATTCCAGCATGCATCGATCGGTCCACGCGTTCATGTGATTTGCTGCAGCGCGGACAAAACAGACTTTAAATGTCCCACCAGGCTTTTCCCCAGATCTCGTTAACCCCGCGTCAATCTCACTAACCAAAACAAAGCCGCCGGGGAATTGCCGACCGTCTCCCTGACTTTGAATTTAGCGAGTTGAAACCCTCCTTTTCCAGATTTGTGTGCAAATCTTCACGGATTCACAGCGGAACGTTCATCCATCTCTCTGCGGCAGCGTGTTGGACGCACCCGATCGCTGTCTGAGCCGCTTTGTCTCACTTCTTTTCTCTGCCAGTCCCCCGTGATCTCATTTGTCAATTGTTTTCACCGGCAGGTGTGAGGCGAGCTCTGTGTGTGTGTGTGTGTGTGTGTGTGTGTGTGTGTGTGTGTGTGTGTGTGTGTGTGTGTGTGTGTGTGTGTGTGTGTGTGTGTGTGTGTGTGATGATGTGTGAGAGTCAGCTTTTTTCGTTTCAAACAAAGAGTTTTTACAGGAAAATAAAAGCTAAAATTATGTTTGAATGCATCATAGCTGCTGAGACTTAGTGTTTAATTATTCTATTTTTGTTTTGTTATTTTTCTTTCTGTTTGGATTCATTATTTTTGGTCTTATTGTCAGTTTCCATTTCACCAAGTTGTAATTGTTTCTAAATAAAAGCATAAAAAAGCTAAATCGTGCTTCAGTTCTACGAGGCGACACCAAGTATGTTCTGCACATCTATTGTATTGTGAACTTAAGGCACGCTACAGTATCTAACAAATACTTTTAATGAACATGTTTTTTTTTGTTCATTAAAACATCAAGTACTATAGGTTGCGTAGGTTGCAATGGGGGCACCGTGGTTGTCTTGGTGATCTGGGCATCATATTTAAGTGTAGACAGGGTTCACTGGCAATGTCCTTGCTGATTTATTATCCTAACAGGAGAGCAATCCCTGTTACATCAACGGTCTTAACTTGAAGTTTGACTTTAAAGAGTGTTTTGTTTTTTCAGCAACAAGATGACATTCCAAATTGGCTTGTTAAAATGATTCCAATGAACTCTATTCTCCTGCCTTTTATCATGTGACCACCTCTCATGCTCTGGTATTTACAGTATGATCTGAAAAGATTGTCCAGTATTTCTGAATGAACCCGACCATTATAACCACAGATGTTCGTCTCCATCCTCTCTCGGGTCAAGTCAGGTCGGCGTCAAATACGTTGCGCACAGCGACACCCGGCGGCGGCCACGGGGAACAGCAGCTGTCATTAAAAGCGAACGTCCAACGTTTGTTCTTCACGACGTTCCGTAGAACGCCGCTGTCATGTCTGCCGCCTTCATGGTAAGTTACCCTTCAAATGTTGACTTATTATTGCAGTTTACAGTAGAAATAAGCATATTAAACTCGCTCTCTATAAACGCCAGAGTATATACTAAATACAACGTGTGCTGGTGTTAATAACTTGCTGAAAGGACTTCACGATTCAACATGCTGAATATTAGGTTAGCTGTTAGCTAACGTTAGTTAGCTTCCATCTGACTACCTGTTATCCTTTCGTCTCTCTTCAGTCTCTCCGCAGGTGTTGCCAGCGGTCGGCGCTCCTCGCCGTTGCTAAGCGACCGTGGAGCTCCAGCCCCGCGCCCTCCCCTCCTCTGCACACGAGGTTCCTCCTCTTCCTCGCGCAGCGCTTCTATGACGTGGAGATGCTGCTCAGCTGGGGCCACCGGCAGAAGAGGATGGCGATCCACAGGAGGAACGCGTAAGGAGCTCCCGGTCCGGCCAAAAGGATTGTGCACCATCTTCCCTTTTCACGTGTTTTCAGGCTCGTGCGTTTGGAAATAAAAGTTTAAGTGGCATTATTGAAAATGCAATATTTACATCAGGAGCAACGCGTTGTATGATGAGGGCATTGTGCAACATTTTGGGAGTTTTCTCCCCACGACCCATCAGCTGTAAAGAAAGTTTTTATGAATATAAAAAGTGTAAAAAAAACACTTTGTCATGTTATTGTTTTTATATTTATCCATCACTGATTTCACCTTTTGTCTCTCATAGTTACTATGGCTACACCAAGAATTTATATGGCGCGGACATAGCGGCAGCATTTTATGTCTTGAGTCTGAAGGGAGGATTTAGGTAAGTGCCCCACTTCCTCGTCTCTGTACGTTTTTTTTCTTACCGGAAACTGTGGATTCTTTTTTCATGCCAGCCATCGAGGATTTACATAAATTACTTTTAACAACTCGTATGATAACCTACACCGACACCCTGTCTGACTCCATTTTCATTTAATGTCTTTCAATGAGTTTTCATTCATTGGTCGCATTTTTAAAAAAAGGATTTCCCCTCACCTGTCATTTTATTATCATTAAAATGAGTATCTTATACCGGGTAATATATTTACATTTAATCTGTAAAACACGCTGTGATCCCGTAGACATGTGATGGTCTGCGTTGTGTCCTCAGATATGTCGGCCAGTCCGAGTGGTTCCGTGCAGACCGGAGGGGGAAATTCAACTGGGACTTCTTGAATCACAAAGACACACTCCTGGAGGAAGTGAACATGAGCCACACAGTCATCAACTCCGGCGGACTGGGCAACCTGGGTAAGAGGCTCAAATGCTGCCTTGTTTTTCCCTCTAAAATACCATTTTTTTTCCCCTCCTTTTTAGTAGTGTTTATGTACCATATTTCGGATGTCCATGTTTGTGATGGGCTTTGTGCTCTCAGAGGGGCAGACATCGTTGCGGACTCTGTCACTACGAGGTTGCCCTGAAGTGGACGACTGGTTTCTGGCGGGGCTCCATGTCTTCCAGGACTCTCTGAAGGAACTGGACATCTCTCACTGTCCTCGCATAACGGTCGGCGGCCTGGCCGCACTCAGGAATCTCAAGTAGGTGTCCAAACACTTCGAAGCAATTTTTGAGTTTTCCAACACTTGTGCGTTTTGTGTGAAGTTCCTCCCTTCGCGTTTGGCAGGGGGCTGCGTCGCCTGGACGTGTCGTCCCTCCCCAAGGTCTCGAGTCCCGGGCTGGTCGTTCTCCTGCTGGAGGAGATGTTGCCACAGTGCCAAATCGTCGCTACCGGCTACGACCACAGCCTGGGGCAGTTTGGAGGAGGGGAGGTGGAAGGGCAGCGGGAGGTACGGGAAGCAACAGACTGCGTTAGGAAAGAGGGAGTCCTCTGAGGGAGCTCCGCCGTCACTTCGTCTTCTTCCGACAGAACGAGAGCCGACGGAGCGAAGAGAAAACCCCTCGCACCGTTCTTCAGTTGACTGCGGCGTCGGAGAACTGCAGAGGGAAGATGGGAAGTTATAATAAAGATACATGTATCTTTTGGTGATCTTCCACGTCTTTGGGTTCTCTTTAGAGCCAATTCACTCATATTTCCTTTAACTCCGCCTCCCAAAAACGGCGTCCGATGACAGATCTGGATATTTCACCATTTAAACACCATGTAAAATTTGCTTTAAAGCATGAACCAATTATAGACTTGTATTTGATTTGGACACTGTCAAAGGAAAACTGCATGTAAGTGTTGAAAAATAATCTACTACCAGGAGGTTGTTGGATCCTTTGGCTTTGTAATGTAAAATATAACACATGTCACCACATCTGCTCGTGTTCCTTCCCAAAATAAAATCTGCTCTATCTCAAGTAAATGATATTCGTCTGTAAATGTATTTTCTTTTGCAGAAATGTAAATGTACAGAATAAAGATTTTAGTTTTTTCAACATGTATTGTTTATTCATTGTCAAATCTGTTGTCTTGTAACCGAGGGATTCACAAGTTGTGTTTGACAATAATAAATAATGTGGAAACACATCTTAGTGTGTCTGTATGTATGTTCTAATCTTCACAGTGGAGGCTTATGTGAGGAAACCAAAGCCCATAATCCATTGTGAGCCTTGTGCTGCAGCAGTGTGGGATGGACACCACTGAGACTGGGAGAAAAGGCTGGATGGAGACAAAGATATCAATGATTATTTTGTTCGTAATCCTCTCCAATGCTTCAGTAGCCGACTTAAATGTGAACAGAACTTGTTATAAGATCTAATTCTACTTCAAACCTCTTGCCGGTGTTGTTTTTTGTGAGTTGTTTTCAGATGACATTATCTGAGGTAGGAACCTTTTGTTTCTCGGGGAGAACACGGACCGTATTTCTGACGGACAACAACAAGAAGACCCAGCCGAGTGCTCGCCGAAGAAGAAACCCTTTCGCAACTTCGTAAAATCGGGGAGTTAAAGTCCTTGTCATTCGGACCCTTGTGCCCGAAGGGTGTCAGTAGAAGGATAAATGTCTGATGCCTCAGGTAGGGAGTCCCATTTTGAAGACTTTGTCCGTCAGACGGCGTTGCTACGCCGGGCTAGCTCGTTTAGCTCGCTGCCTATACGGCTAACACCTCACTACAGGAGGAAACATCTGTTGAGTTTGACGTCATATTTAATTGTCTCTACAGAACACCTTACAGAGGAAGAGGAGGTGATTGCGCCTGAACCAGAGGTGAGAAAAGTATTTTTTTTTTATCTGCTGCTGTGGCAGCTCGTTAGCATGTTAGTGTTAGCAGTGACGTCAGAAGGGTGGACCTCTCCTCACTGCGGCGTCACCGGCCATCGTCTCACTAACGCAGGTTAAAGAGAGCCGTCAGAGCCGCTGCTGTAAATAAATAAAGATAATTAAAACGTCGCGTGTCTCTTGTAGGACCAATCGGACGACAGCAGCGGGGACGAGGCTGCAGGAGACACAGAGAGTAAGTGGAAGACGATGGTGCAAACAACCCTATTCTTGTATATTATTACACTTGCATTGACGTCATCATTCTGTACATCTACCTGCATTCATTTACTGTCCCATGAATGAAACATTTTGCGTCTCTATTGATTTTTATCTGCATGCACAGTGTTGTTTTCACTCTCGAGTGGCATCGTCATCTGTCGTTTCCTTTCGCCTTCCTCCCAGTGGACTTCCTGCGTAACCTCTTCTCCAGCAGCCTCGGCCTCGGCTCGGCGGACAAGGTTCTGGACGAGCTGACTCTGGAAGGAGTAGCGGAATACATAAAGAGCGGCAAATGTGAGTCCCTGCCCGCATTGACCATCTTGGATTTAGTCTGTTGACATAAAGCCCTTGTCATGTATTAAACGCGGCATCCTTTACAGGTGAAAACATCATCTGTATGGTTGGAGCCGGAATATCCACATGTGAGTTTAAATACCGCAAGACGATTGTAGTAGCAGTTTGAAACTACTTTCAATAGTTGTTTTTTTTGTGTATTTTTTGAATCTGTAACTCTGAGCATCATTTCCTCCCACAGCGGCTGGGATCCCTGATTTCCGCTCACCGGGAACCGGCTTGTACGCAAACTTGCAAAAATATAAACTCCCTTACCCAGAGGCCATCTTCCAGATAGATTATTTTAAGGTGTGTGCACTATTACTTTGTCTGATATTTTGGAGAATATCAGGAGTCGGGACTGTCACCTAAAGTGCGAAAACAAAAACACTCCATTGCAAACAGTTGTACAAACATCTGAAGACCATCCTGCTTCATGATTTGAGACGCTCTTCACGGTTGCTACAGTACCATGTAACGTTCTTCTATATCGTCTTTCTCAGAAACATCCAGAGCCGTTCTTTGCCTTGGCCAAAGAGCTTTACCCAGGACAGTTTAAGGTACAAAACTCAAATACATTTCAATAGTCACACTTAAAGATTGTGAAAATGTAATCTTTTCTCACTTGTTTTTTTTGGGGGGTTTGGGGGCCATTTAGCCGACACTCTGTCACTATTTCATTAAGCTGCTGAAGGACAAGGGGTACTTGAGGCGCTGCTACACACAGGTAAGAAAAGGGTCTCCACACCCGCGCTGCATATTCCTTTCTGTTTTTGCACGGACGTTTATATGCGAGCGTTCATTCAGAACATCGACACTCTGGAGCGCGTGGCCGGCCTCGAGGGAGACGACCTGATCGAAGCTCACGGGACGTTCTACACGTCCCACTGCGTGAGCTTCTCCTGCCGCCAGAAGTACAACCTGGACTGGATGAGAGGTGCCTCTGGTTTGTATTCAGAGAGCTGGTTGTGATCTCGTTTGGGACTTTAACGTCCCCCTTTGATTTTGCAGATAAGATCTTTTCCGAAGACATTCCTCGATGTGACAAGTGCAAGAGTTTGGTGAAGCCAGGTCGGTGGGTCTTGGGTTCAATTTGATTTTCCCGTGTCATTCTTTTGTTCCTCCTCCTTTCTGAACCAACTCTATATCTTTTTCCTACTTGGCTGCTAGCTAATTGTGTCACCCTTTAATCTCGGCCTCCCTTGCTACTCTTCTCCCAGATATCGTCTTCTTCGGAGAGAGTCTACCCGTTCGGTTCTTCACCTCGATGAAGATGGTGAGCACATAATGGTGGCCTGAAGAGAATGCGATGTAACCCCCCGGTGCAGAAATAAACCTGTCTTCCTCTACCCGTCAGGACTTCCCTCGCTGTGATCTCCTCCTCATAATGGGCACGTCTCTGCAGGTCCAACCGTTTGCGGGTCTCGTCGGCAGGTACTGAAGATCAGGCTCCGTGTTCCCGACACCTGCTGCCGACTGCAGACTCCGCTCAAGGAAACATTTGCAATTGTGCAGTCAAGCTGCAAGAAAAACCCTCTCCAGCATTATGACTTAATCGTTGTTTTTCTCTCTCCTGTCTTTTTTTTTGTTTATTTATTTAGGGTTTCAAAAAGTTGCCCCCGACTGCTCATTAACATGGAGAAGGCGGGGCAGGTGAGCCTTCATCCCAACACTAAGTCTCCTCCTCCTTTTCCTTCTGTCAGAGATGTGTTTGTTTGTGTGTTTGTTTGTCTGCGCAGGCCGATCCTCTGTTCGGGTTGGTGGGCTTCGGAGGAGGGATGGACTTTGACACAGACAAGGCCTACAGGTGATTCTGTTTCATCTTCCAAACCTTTCCTCCTACTTGCGTCTGACAGCAGGAACACACGTCCGATCTGAATCTCGTCAAATCCACCGGATCCGATAATTAGGAGAAAAGTTCTGGAAATTTTGAGCCAAAATGATCAATAATCGCTACAACTTGCGATTTAACTTTTCACCACCAGAGTGGGCAAACGCTTTAGTCTTGATGATCATTTTGTGAAATACCTTGTGTGTGGACACTCATCCTTTATCTTAATACTTGATGTCGTTACTCAGTAACTCTGTAATCTCTCAATAGTCCTCATAAAACGTTTGCCGAGACCACGAGGAAAGCGTGGTCCAATTGAAGCGGTTATCCGTGTGTGTGAAAGGAAGCGCTGTCCGGGTTCTAACACAGTGTCGTCTTTGTTCCTCCCCTGCAGGGACGTAGCTCACATCAGTACTTGTGATGACGGCTGTCTGGCTTTTGCTGAGCTGTTGGGATGGAAGGTGAGCGACTCAATCACCTCTCGTGGATTGAAGTGATCTCGCTTTTTGAGGACACGTGTCGGTTGTTTGAGGTTGTTGTGCATCTCACTCTGATTGCGTTCTTATCATTTACTGTGCTACTTTAATATCCTGCAACACAAACTGAACTTAGGCACAGATGCACAGTGTCATTAAAGCTTTATTCTGCATTTCTCATTGGACTCTTCCCACATGTTCCTGCTGCGTTGATGATTAAATCAACCTACCGACGATCATTTTAAGATCTGCTGCTGTGAACAATACCGATCTGTCTGTGTTGATAAAGGAAGGAGGTGCCTGAATATACAGTCAACAATTTAGTCCCTGGTGCACCCGTGGTATTCTTCTTATTACAGAACTGCAGCAGGAGCAAACAAAGTGACCTATTTGTACCCCGTGTAATGATGTGGTCAAAAGTCCCTATCGTTGGACGGACGTCTTCTCCGGGATTTCTCTTTTCCTTGCGTGTCTTCCAATCCTGAGTCTTGTTAAATCCCTCCACCTCCCCGCAGGCGGAGCTGGAGGAGCTGGTGAAGCAGGAGCATGCAAAGATTGACAGCCTGGCGGAGCAAGAGAAGGCCGGTGAGAGCGAAGGAGCTGCAGCCGAGGGGAGCGCCGCGCCCGAGCAGGAGAAGGAGTAGCAGCAGCTGCCGTCGCCGTGTGGAGCTGGGTCTTTAGAAGAAGAAGAAGAAGATGATGATGATGATGGGGGGGGGTTGTTTGGAAGTGATGCTTCGACCGGCGTCGCTGTCTCATTTTCCATCGGCGGACATTGAGTTCTTCTGAACAACCTCCCTCTCGACGTCCCCGTGTTTTATGCTTCTGTTTACGTCCTTATTTGCACCTCCTACTTCCCTTCCTTTGCACTGGCTTCCTTTGCTGTATATTTCTATTCAAGGCAGGTAACAATGCATGGACAGATTTTAATGCAGAGGGAAGCTAAATATTAACCCTCGGCTGTGTGGTCATGACTTACTGTCTCAAACACATCAGATGTGGTGATTTGGGTATTTTTATGGTTTTGAGCTGATCTCTTGGCCCAATTGGTCGTAGAAGCACCACAGAAGGAAACCTCTTGATGGGGGAGAGATGAGGTGTAAATATAACAGCAGGAGAACTGTTAAGGTGGAACTTTTAAAGTGTTTTAAATTAAGTGTTTTTCATGTTAACCATTTCCTTGTCTTTTGAATTTATTTTTATTGTTTGTTCCAACACAATGTTGATAGTGTGAGCTATATCCTCTTAATGTTATGGAGCAACAGACTGTGAACAACGTGACTTTGCAGTCAGGACTGTAGATGATTCTGCTGGTTGAAGCTTTGAGGGTAGTTTAAGTATAGAAATACAAGATGGTAAAAAAAAGATTCACTAAAATAAGGTGTTTGGGTTAAGTTGTTGCTTCCTGGAATTAAAAGCAAAAGTACATTACGGACCTGTACAATATAATGGAAACTTATCTGAAAATGTTGCAATAAATTGGGACATTTGTAAAAAAAAAAAAGGAAAATGTCGTATTTTCTTTTTACAATAAAAGGTTGTAATACAGTGGAAGTTACTAGTTGTCGCAGGAAAGGAAGTGAGTGGCATCTCTTGTCGCCATGGAAACGCTGGCCAATAAACAACGCCTCAAGATGCGGTTTCTTTGAGGCCCCCCCCCCCCCCCGTCCGTCCCGCCCCTTGGCGGCCCTCTCAGTTATGTTTTCTGTGGTGTTTGCATCCCTCCTGGTCAGGGTCACGCAGCTTCCTTTCCACGGATTTCATTAAGCCGTTTAACCCCCATCCAGACCTGGGGGGGGGGGGGGGGGCGCGAGGAAACATGAGCTCAACAGTTTCACGTGAAAACCGAAAGTCGATAAAGCGCCAGCACGTGCAGGAGACAGGAGACCTCGGCAGCCGTCCTTCCTCGCACTTTGGAACCATTACGCGCAGACCTCTCGCGGACGCGTGTCCGAGGAGCGCGCGAGCTTCCCACCGGGGGGGGGGCCCCAGCCGCGGGTACTTTCGGTTCTTAGGCAACGTGTTGCAGAAAGAGTTTAGGAAGGAAGAGTTCAAAACAATTGCGACATGCGGATAAATGTGCCAACGGCCCGAAGGAGAGACGACGCGTGAGCGCGCGGAGCCGGACCATCACGCGTGAGTAACGAGCGCCGCGTGCTACTGAACATGGGTTAGTTAACGTTAAAAGGCATTTCATCCTTCATTAGGCGAGAAAGCGTCAGCAGACACCCACCCACCTCCACCTCCACCCCCCCAGAGGGGATGCAGACAGTCGCACATAAACGTGTCCACGGTTCGGTCAACGGGACCACGGCGGTCCCGTGGAGGAGCAGCCGGAGGCGGCTGTCGCTGCTGCAGCAGCTGAGGGGCTGTCAGCGCGCCTGGGCCCCGGGGGGCCCCTGGGACAGAGAGCGGGCCCACGCCGCTATCTGTGGGACACCTGCTGGGGTGAGATTCTCCTCTTCATCCTCCTCCTCCTCCTCACTGCGAACAGCAACCCATTTAAGACTCTTTTATTATTTGATGGAGGTTTTCCAAAAATAAACCATTTTCTTTCTGGGGGAAAAAGCCTTTGTGTTGGCCGTGTTTCTTATCACAATGCCGTAGATGTTGCTTCCTTGAGGCCTTCCTGGGTCGTCTTCTTGGCCCGTCTCTTTGCACGTCCTCTCCCCCGTTCCACTCGTATTTTCATTCTTGTGAGCTTTCGGTTGTTTTTCTGATGTGGTGTTTTATGAAACCATGTGGCTTCGCTGAAACATTCCTCCACAGAGGACACTGACCTGCACATCTCTGCCACCACACGATTAGTTCCTTCTTCTGCGTGTCGTCTCACGACACAATGAACACTTTTTTTGTCGGGGCTGAATGCAGAAGTGGTGCCGAATAGAAAAGGGTTGTGTATCGGGAGGGAATGACGATACAAAACGAAGCTGCACAAGTGAGTATCAGTGGTCCTCGGAAAGGAGAGGATGTCGTTGGGTTTTTATTTTACCTCGTGTTGGCTGATTATGTCAGAAAGTTACTTTCTGCTTTGGTGGTTTTCCCTTCGTCTTCCTGCTGTAAATGACTAAATATAACCGTTATGAATTAACAACAATTGCTCATAGTTCCTCTCGGCTGCCAGTTAATGTTTGTGCTCAAAGTGTTGTGACTTGCAGTGAACTTGTCTCTATTTCTGTGTGCACTCTCAGCCACTTCCTGTGTGTGTGTGTGAGTGTTTAAATGTACTTGAGAACACCTCTCAAGTTCTGTTGTGGTGTCGTAACCCGGCTGAGCTCTCAGTTTGCGCTACACGAGAGGACATTTGTTGAGTTATTTATGTGTCAACCGGCTATTATTTTGGTTTGGTTTCTCAAAGACGGCGACGTGATCAGGCGCCTCGTCTCTGCAAAAAGAACATCTACGCAGTTTGAGTTCAATGTCTCGAGGTGAAGAGAACATTCGGAAAAAGAAAAAAAAAAAAAAATCCTCTTCGCAACCGAGAGCTCGATTCAGATGAAATTGGAAAGTCACTGACTCATCGTGATTCAAAATGTTGTCAGATTCCGATTGGTACATGAACATGTCTGACATCCTCTTTCTTCTAACTGAGCCCTGCTAGTGACGAGACCACAGGGATAAAAAAAAGGAGAAAAGGACACTTTTCTAACTGGCAACTTGTGTGTTCACGTGGGCCTCAGTCATTCACAGCAAGAAGAGAGTGTATTTCTCATTTTTTCGAAAGAGGAAACGTGCCTGCGTTAGTCAGTTCGGCTTTAGGAGAGAAGTCACCCAGCAAGTTCTGGAACGGGACGTGATTCTAAAAGCAAGAACACCAAAATCACAGCTTTGATGAGCTAATTCGCGCTAAATAACAGGTAAAGCCTCCATATTTCCTTAGCGTGGCCATAAAGGTAGTCACTGCTGCAACCATGCCAGTTGTGCATGTGCATCACAGATGCTTTTCATTAATACTGGAGATGCCAACCAGAGATGGTTTCAGCTTTAGTCGAGTAATTACCGGCAGGCTCTTTCGGTGGCTTAATTAACCGAAACTTCTGGGTGTCTGTCACCACGCTGTCTCTCTCTCTGATCATTTACAAAAAAAAAACCTGCTCAGCCAGTTACCGCAATGCTTCAGAGGCTTAAATGAGTCATTTCATGTGTGTCCTTCTGTGTGTGTGTGTGTGTGTGTCTGTCCCTTGCAGAGTTTCCTGGTTGTGTGTGACTCTGTGGCGTCTGAGCCTAACCTGCTGTGTGTGTCCGCTGGAGGCGAGAATGGAGCCGTTGTCGATTATCGTATCAAAAACACAGGCACAGGTACGGACTACTCTCTCTCTCTCTCTGTGTGTGTGTGTGTGTGTGTGTGTGTGTGTGTGTGTGTGTGTGTGTGTGTGTGTCAGTGACTCTGTGGTTATTTCGTGAATCATTACATGTGCAGCAGCGGACTGTTCAGGCCGATAAACGTTTGCAGTGACCCGATAACATCACGGGTTGTGTAGTTCTGCTTTGTCTGAATCACGGGCCGAAAGAGCCCAAAGGAGCCGGATCGACCCGCTCAGCGTCCAAACCACGCGGCGTCAGAAGATACCCGATAGCGGCTCGCGCGAGCGATGGGATGGATGAAGCGGTCGCCCGGGCTTATCTTCACAAGTCGCCCACCTCTTTCTTCCTGTTAAAAGCTTCGGTGTGTTTCCAGGAATGCATCTTTCGACAGAAATGAGACTAACTGCCCCCCTCTTTCCTCGCCGTCAGACTTCCAGCTGTGTGAGTCTCGTCTGTCCTTCTCTGACTTGGCTCAGCTGGTGCTCTTCTACTCTCTGACCAGGTGAGGACCTGCAGGACTTTGCTTTTAATCGTTGAGTGTCACTGGACCTCCGTTTGAACTTGTGCAACTACTGCACGTGTCATAACGGCTGCCCCCGTGTCCCATGTCGAGGTGTCCCTGAGCAAGACATCTAACCCTTAATCGATCCCCGGGGCAAAAATGTAAAAGGCCCTGGGTTTAAAAATGTAATGTAAGTCGCTTTTGGATAAAAGCGTCAGCTAAATGACCTGTGATGTAATAATGTAATAACGTCTCATCTGTTTCCTGCTTTGGATTCGGTGGAAAAGTGCCATGTTTGATTTCATCATCTCTTTCCCGCGCGTCAGGGATGTGTTGTCCGTCTGTCTCTCTATTCCTCGCTGGATCTACGGTGTAACCGAGAACACCAAAGATCGCCTCTCCGAACTTGAACCCGGTGAGCACTTCCATCTCCCAGAAGCTACAGCGGAAAACCGGACATTCGAACAACCGTCTCATTTCTAATACCTTCCTCATGCAGATACTTGGCTCAGCACCCCGACCGACCAGCCAGCCGAGGAAATGACCCAGAAGGAGCCAAGCAACGTCATGTGCTCCATACAGGTAACTCCGGCGTGTAGAAGAATTGACGGAAGCAACAGTAACAACATTTATAAAGTATACGGAATTGTTCCGCATAACTTAACGATAAAGGAGACGGTTGCAAAGCAGATTTTAGGCCGTCACTGTGGTCAGCGTTGTGTCACAGGAAGCGTGCCGTTTCTTCACCATCGATGTCTGTGTGATTCCTTAGCTGACTTCCACCAACGGCGCCTTGTGTATCATCAACCCCCTCTACCTCTACGAACACGGGGACGACTGGCTGGCGCGCCAAGCCCCGCCGCCGTCGAACCACAGGCGAGAGCGGCGCCTCAGCACCAGCAGACAGTGGGCGGGTTCGGGGCTACAGAGCAAACGGACCATCTCGTTGGACGAGCAGCCCGCCGCTGACTGCGCGGAGAGTTCTGGTGAGGAAACATGCGGGCTAAAAGCCTGTTGACCGGCAGGGCTTTTGAAGGCGTTGGTTGGTTGGAGGAATGTGTGGGTGTTCGGACGGAGCCAGGCTGGATTACTTAACCAATCTGGTCATCTGTCTAAAAGTTAAGCGGTTTGAATCGTGTTCGTCGACCAATGTTTTCCAGGCCTCACCAGAGCCATGTCTGCCGATTCCCCACACTGCCCACCGACCGCGTCGGCACCGCCTGCTCCGGAGGCCGTGGTTCTCAGGAGGCCCAGCAGGGAATCGGTCTCCAGCTTGAGCTTGGAGACCTTCCCTCCGTCTTCTCCGTCGACTCCCTCCACCCCCGGGGGTTCGGGTGCAGCGGTGACGCCGTCTCTTCACAGGGTCTCCTGGATCGAAGAGGGAGTCTGGCTGCCGCCGCCCAGGCCTTCCTCCTTGCTCCACCCGCCGTCGCTGGAGCTCGACTCGCTGTCGCTCAGCAGCATCGAGGAAGAGCACGAGGCCCAAAAGGCGAGCCCCACCCTGCACCACCCTGGCCCGCAACGGTTGGCCAACAAGGTCATCCACCGTCTCTCGGCGGTGGGCCAGGCGATCGGCGGGCTGGTCAGCCAGAAGAAGAGGCTGTTTCATCGCGTGCAGGAGCTGAGCGAGCGGAAAGGCGCAGCGTTCGCTGAGGCTGTGAAAGGATTCGTGGAGATGACGCTGAAGAAAGGGGCCGATCCCGGCGGGGTCACGGGGTCGGAGTTCCTACAGGAAGTGAGGTCATCCCTGTCGTCCCTGAAGGAGACACTGTTGGACTACCAAGAAATCCTGGCATTGTTGGACAGCATCACTGACATGAATGACTTAGAGATGGGTGAGTGATCTTTAAGTGTTAACATCTGTTTTTAGGCTACATTTTGTGCTCACCTACCCTTTGGCCCTCCTGCAGACTCCCTGGTGGAGCTTTCCCTCCACAAGGTGGCCCTGAAGCCCATCTCCGAGCACCTCTACTCCTGCATTCACATTTCCCGAGTCAACGACCACAGCCTTGAGCGTCTCCAGAGCAACATGCGCGTGCTGGAGAAGAACGGCGTGGAGGAGCTCGGGGGGTCGGCGGGAGTCGGAGTTCCCGACGCTGTGACCCTGGAGCGGATCCAGCAGAGGTGGACTAGCATGCACGAGGCCTACTCCCCAAACAAGAAAGTCCATACCCTTCTCAAAGTCTGCAAGACCATCTATCACAGCATGAGTGCTAATGCTAGCTCAGGTAGCCACTTCATTTTTTAAAAATGATTTCTTTCTTTATTACTGGCACTTTGTCTGTCGGCACCTTTTAAATCCACATCCTTCCGTCCTGCAGGTAAAGTGTTCGGAGCGGATGATTTCCTGCCCTGCCTCACGTGGGTGCTGCTCCGCAGTGACGTGGTCACCTTACACCTGGACACAGACTACATGATGGAGCTGCTGGACCCCACCCAGCTGCAGGGAGAAGGTAAGGCAAACACAGTGCATAAACACAGCGCTCGGTTTATTTATTATTTGGCCAGATTCCTCGGGTGGAGTAACGCGGACGTCTCCCTTGCTGCGTCCGCCATGTCAACAGGTGGCTACTACCTGACGACGCTCTACGCCTCGCTCTACTACATCAGCAGCTTCCGGCCGCGGCTGGCCGCCCGTCAGCTGAGCGTCGAGGCCCAGCAATCTCTCAACCAATGGCACCGCCGGCGCACGCTGCACTGCAACCAATCGCGGCGCAGCAAGAACCGGCGGACCATCCGCAGGCAGCCGTGCCGGGACAGGGAGGCGCAGAACCCCGAGACGGACGCCGGGAGTGAGGGGAGGGGGAGCGCGGGGGGGAGTGAAGCGTCCCAGGGGCGGACGGAAGGCAGCGTGGAGGAGACGCCGGAGGAGGAGGAGGAGGAGACGAGGAGAGGCAGAGGGGCCGAGGACGGATCGCCGACGTCAGACTGTAACCAGCGAGACGCGGCGGGGGATCCAACGGGGAGACGGTCACAGGCGATGGTAGAAGGACAGCAGGGACACGGGTGACGGAGAGACATTTAATCGTCGTGCGAGGTCAGACTTCCTGAGGACCGCAAAGCGTGTTTTGTCCGTGTTTCTGCTGAGATTCCTCTCGTCCATCTTTTTGATGAGAGGAGACGGAGATTTTAGACTTTTACTTTTTCTTACAAGGTATTTAATGTATTTTATCTCTTCGGGAGTCTGACACACGTTCAGATAGAGAATTCAGCGAAGCAAAAATCAATGTCTTTACCCATAACTTGTCAAGTTGACATTTTCCCACTTTGAGGGTTCATAAGATCAGGAAGCAGCGACCTCGAAGAGGAAAAGAGTTAATATAAAAGTATTATAGTAATATATTTATTTGGTAACAAACCCAAATGTCTTTTTTTTTATTTTAAGGTGTAGCATGAACTGAAACTAAAGTCATTTTTGATTTGTGGATGTGAACCTTTAACCACTCAACCTGTGAGGAGCCAAACGACAGTAACATAAAAAGTGAGCCTCTAAAGCTGGTGAACGTAGTTCAGCGTTTAACAGCTAAATAAATATCCGGATGACGGACAGAAAGCCCAAATGATGCTAAAGTGCCTTTTCCTCTGCTGCTCATCGAGAGGTTTCTGCTCCATGTGGACTTTGCTCGAATGCCGTTGAACCCGAGCTCCTGCATTTCACCTGCAGACGGTTTCTTCTGCGTCGGTCAGGATTTGACAGATTTGAGTTGTCTGTTGTCTCTTTGGACCACTAGAGAGCAGCAGCACACCTCCTGTGTGTGTGTGTGTGTCCTCCATGTCGCATTGGCAGTTGGTAGAATAAAGACATGGGTGGGTTTGTACCGGGGGACGTTTAAATACGTTTAATCTGGATTGATTCATGCAGTGTCGGGAGGTCGAGACCCTTAAAAGTTCCGCCTAATAACGCTCATAAGGGGACAGTTAAAGCATGAAGAATCAAATGTGGGGGGACGGCACTCAGAGGTTGAGCTTTAAAAGTGGGGACAGTCAAAGTCCAAGTTAGTTGATATTGGCCCTCAAAAATGATGCCGAAGTGCTTAATTGTTGAAGTGTAATTACTTAAAGTAATAACATGTACTGTAAAACAATGGAGTGTCCCGATTATTGTTTTACGTGACTCTTTTTAAATATATGAAATGTTTTATACTGTTTTATTTCATTTAAGGGGTTGTATTGACAGCGTTTGCGCGGCGGGGAGATCGACTGGAGGTTGAACGTCTTTGAACCCGTCGAAGGGGAAGTGAAAGTGGCTGACGTGGTTGGTCAAGTCTCCGGCCTCGCTGGCTCAACGAAAACTGGCACCGTCACAAGTTGAGGTCTGAGGTTCTAGTGGTGGGAGTTCAAACCCTGCAGGCGTCTAACGAATCAATGATAATAACCAATGAAAGGAGAGACGGAGCAGTAGTAGAAATGCAGTGACAGTTGTGTGGGAAGCCGTTAAAAAGGGACTAAAGTGTCTCTTTTTTAAAACGTTTTCATGTATTTTTCTGCCTGTAAATTCAAATATTAACAAAACCGTGAATGAATGCACATACGTCAGGAACACGTGAAAGTAGTTATACAGGCGGGCCTCTTATGTACTGTAAATGCACACACACACACACACACACACACATGGAACTGTATCATCGCTGCATTCTAAATGAGCGAGCCAATCAAATTTGCCTAATGAGACATCTGGCTTTCTGCCTGCATGCGGATGTCAAACCTAGAAACAGCTGGGCCTTTATGCACACACACACACACACACACACACACACACACACTGCCCCTTTCTCCTCTCACACTATATCTGATCTGGTGGAAGAGTGAGATAGAAATCCTGTGATATGGGTGATACACACACACACATATTTAAGGGGCTGGTTGAGGGAGGAGTTGTGGTCAAGACTCACCGGCCGGTGTCGCACACTCATCTCCCACACGCAGTTCTTTCACACACACGTGATACATTATGCATACGTGAGTGTGTGTAACGCACTCACCGCGGTCATAAATTAGATATACGGTGGTGGTGGTGGTGGTGGAGTGTGTGTGTGTGTGTGTGTTTGTGTGCATGCGAAATGAGAAGAAGTGGAGGAAGGAAGGGGGGGGGGCACAGATGGCTGTGGCCTGAGGCATTTGAGGTACTGCAGCTAAACATTGAGACTGCAGCGCGCACACACACACACACACACAAACACACACAGGAGATTAAGTGTTGGGGAGGCTGCTCACATACACAAACACTTCAACATGTACCGTATCAAAGCAGAAAAAGGAGACAGAGAGACGCACAGTGGACATGTCTCCTCCGTATAGTTCACATCAGAGACACAGTCAACCGCTAAAGGAGGCAAGAAAAAGTGTAAAATACCCCCCAAAAAATGTTTGATTAATGGACAAATAGACTGAGAGGAGACGTTTCTTTAATTAATTTCGTAATAACGCGTTACTACGTTACTGTCTTCAATGCAGCACTTCTGCTTTTGATGGAGTATTTTCACACAGTAGTAAAGTACACCCTCAACTACCGTCCCCATCGTTTGTCTTCTCTCGTTTCCTGACTGTACAAAAGGTAAATCACATTAATAACTTGCAGAGCATGTTGTGCTATGACGATCGATAGTAGTTATTGAGAGTGTATGTCTGAGTCTGAAACGGAACCATTACAGAGACATTATTGTTATTATCATTATTGTAACAAACCAAATGTCCCTGAATGTGAAATACAAACTCCTTTGAAATGTTCAATGCCTTGTTTAAAAGAAATACATTGTTTCCCACTCTGAAGGCCCTGCAGATGCGTTCCGCCGCTTCCCTTTCAGCTCAGCGGGTCTTAAATCAGGACGGAGGAGTTTGAGTTTGCCTCCGTCTCATCCGTCACTCGTCCCCCGTGATTCATGCGAGTGTCTTTTGTCTTCGCCGTGGACGATCCGTCACGTCTCGTTCACACACCACGACACAATGAAACCGTCGCCCACTCTCTCTCTCTCTCTCTTTTTAAACCCCCTTCTGGTCCTCCCTCTCTCTCCCTCTCTCCCTCCCTCTTTGCATTCCCCCATTCCTTTCCCTTCCCCCCCCCTCCCCCCTCTCTTCTGCTCCCCCCTTCTCTCCCACTTGTCTGAACTCTGACAGGTGTGTAATTGAATGATTAATGACCACCACGCTACCGCCCCCCCCCTCCCCCTCCTCCCCCTCAAACACACACTTTTCTTTAAAATGGAAATGTACATATTTATGCACACACATATTCATGCGCCGCATATGTGCACATTTACACACGTGTATTCATTTTGCTTCAGTGGCCCGAACGGTGAAATTCAAGCCCGGTGGGAGTCTGGGACTGATGGAGACATTACGAGGAGCACGGCGAGCGCCTCGCGTCCCGTCCCATCGGCGTGACGGAGCTGCCCTTCTCAAAAGGCCGCCGTTGTCGTTCGTGTTTCAGCTGGTGGGAATTTTACCACTAAGTTGTTTTTCATGTGTTGTCATTCCCTCAAAAATTGGTAAAGTGGTATTATCTTCAAAACACCGTACACAACGCAACACAATGCAGATGCACACATCGAGGCTCCTTCTCCCCCGCTCTAATGTTCATATTATGAAAATAAAACTTCTTTTTTTTATACGTAAGACGAGGAAATATTGAATTTAAGTTTGTTTTTCTCTTTCTTCTATTGGGTCTGAGGAAAGATGTTGTGGCGTGTGGACGGATGCCGGGGAAAACGGCCATTTCCTGTTGACCTACATTTGAACTCTGGCCCCTGACCCCCTCCTGCCCGGCCGCTCGGGGCCGAATGGGGGCAGGGTGAGGGGACGTGGGGGTGTAGTCGTGGGGGGTGGGGACCGGTGTTTGTGGTGCGTTTGGGGCTCAATGGACGACTGCGGGGAGGTTTTAGGCACCTTTCATGTCCAAACACAACCCGAGAAGGGAGGAAGGTGGCGGCCGCGAGGGGAGAGACGTGGTCGGCGTTGTCGTTGTTGCCTCCTCCGGATGTCGTCCCGGCTTCAGGTGACGGATAAGCAGCAGCGAAGAAGGAACCGGACATGTGATGATCCCGCCTGTGTGACCTGAGGCCTCGCTGGCAGGGACGTGACTCACGGGCGGCAAAAAGGAAGAAATTGCGCTATTTGTCAAGCAGAGGCCCCCGTGAAGGTGAGTGGCTTTTGGCTTTTGAACTTCTCGTGGAGGAGTTGAACTATTCCTGACATCGTACATCAGGAACACCCGACGCTTTTAATCTTTCCTGCCGTCTGTTTTTGACTTTACGTGTTTGGGAAGTCCTGATTGAGGAGAGGTTTGTCTTTGATACTCTTGATATCGACATTCTCACGGCGTGCACACGCTGATTAAAGTTTATTGTTGGAAAGGAATCACGTCGCATGGATTCCTTTCAAATAAAGGCTGAATTGATGAGAAGGGGATTTGGATTGTGGAAGAAAACGACGACACCAAATTGAATATTAGCTGACTATAAATACAATAAAAGAGCCGCATCCTGAAACAAAATACATTTTGCCTCTTATTTAAGTCTTAAACTCACATTACTTTCTTGGAGCCGTCTGCACTTTCTCATTATTTCATTATCAAAGTAAATGTATGCACGGTGAGTGTATTTAACTTAGTTAATAATAACCAGTGGCTTCGGGTTCTTTACACTAACCAACCAGTCCCTTAATCAAACCGCTCCCTTTCTGCACCACTAAACAAGTAGAATCAAACAACACACAAACACACACACACAGTGACAAGTCTTACAAAAAAAAAACATTTTAATACTTTAACTGTATTTCCGTAAATCATTCAGAAACGTTTCAGCCGTCCGAGCCGAGTGGAGAGGGAGCCGAATATTTAGAGTCCTTTGGCTGCAGCTCTCCTCACACACACACACACACACACACAACACGGACCAGAAATGCTTACAGGAAACTGTGTGTGTGTGTGTGTGTGTAATAGTTTTTTGGTGTAGTGTGTTGTGTATGCTGTCGTGTGTGTGTGTAGGAAAGATCCTATAAGGTAACGGACACCTGGTGGCGTCTTAAGGAGGTCAGTGGTACGAGAGGCAGACTGGAAGTCATTCATAGTGTTTAGTTTCATGCTGAGGAAGAGCACTAATTATCCGCCCGCAGTGGCACATAAATATAAAAATAGAATAAGAAAGAAACAGCTCAAACAAGTAAAGTGTGTGTGTGAGTGTGTGTGTGTGAGTGTGTGTGTGTGTTTCCTTTGACGTTTGGCGTTGGCAGGAAGACAAGGTGGGGTGAAGAAGGCGCGCTCACATCCAGCAGCGTCTTCCTGTGGTTCAGCAGGCATGATGGGAAGTGTAGTTTAAAGCGTGTGTCTCACCCACAGGACACAGTGGAGACATTTGGAGAGGAGGAAGCACTTCTACTCTGAAAGAGGTATGGCTTAAACCTGTGGGTCTGCACAGCGTGTGTGTGTGTGTGTGTGTGTGTGTGTGTGTGTGTGTGTGTGGGGAACAGCGGTCAGT